AAACCACTCGACCTCGTCTCGTTAAATTAAAAGATTTTGTTTTACTTGCAACATGCATTTAATTAATAAAAATATAAAATAACTCTAGTTAGTAAGATAAATTGAACTCGACAAGACCAAACGTAAATTAGTCATTTTAAATTGTATATTGGGGACAATTATCATGCATATGTTTAAGTAAATAACCGCGATAATCAGACTAACTGCAATCTGGACATTTTTTGCTCCACAAAAACCACCGGCTGAACTTCCGATGTGTCACATAGTCGCTGAGGGGAATCAAAACCCCTGAAAACCTGTTTGTAAACCGACTATAATAACTGTTTCTTTATTGAAATACCGCATAATGAGTAAGCGGGAAACAGGTGACCGTGATCTGTATTAAGTAAAGAATTACAATACCAATTAAAACTGAATCACGATGTCTCTAGAAGTACTCTAGACAGGTTGATAAATTTTCTTTGTCTCGGCTTATAGGATAAGCAAAGTAGTCAATCACACATAAAATAAATTAAAATCTACATTTAAGATAATGGGAAAAACTTGCTTTACTATCAAATTAATTTTAAAGTCACTATTTCATAAACTTTGAATGTAAAGAAATTTAGAAAACTCTTGTGTTACCTGGCTCTGTTACCTGCGTTTAAATAATATACGAATTAACCTAGAAAACGAGATCGAAAGTAATCTTATAAACAAAAATATCATCAGGCAATGAGTATGATGATTTCCGATTCCAAAATTTATTTATTATGAATTGATCATTGTCATCTGACATGAGCAGTTTCCCGACTGGGGTTTTTTTAGTATTTAATTTGAGATCCATCACAGGTATATTTGATATGCAAAGTACACAAATTTTACTGCGTTCAACTCATTAATTTACAAGTTTTTGGTCAAGGTGAAGAGATAATGACGGTTATTTGTGTCAAACAAATATACTAATTAGTCTTAACACAGATACGTCGAATGCGTGGTATACTTTGTCCTGTAAGGGGCACTCTGCAATGCGGAAGTGGAAATGAAGAAGTGTACTACCGTTATTCTTGGCCGGAAATGAAAGATAAATCGTTTTTTTTCTAGTATTCCTTAGACTGCAAGATTCAGATAATTTTAAGGTGGAAGCACTTTTCCGAATAGTATTTCGGCGTAAATCAAAGCGTGGAACGCGGCGTATTGGCCGTTTTATTAGATACAACAATATTGGACTAATACAAATTTGGTTTATGAAAAGATGCACTTCGATTTAATTTATAACAAAAAGGCACAACGATGAACGTGCCGAACAAAGAGAAAGTGACAGTAACCTTTTTTAATAGACTATAGACAAATGACAAAGGAATAAGACATACATCCTTATTAAAGGGGTGGACACACAATATCTAATAAAGAATAAAGATGCTGCAAGGAATCGCACTAATTGCATACTCGTATTGCAGAAGGTGCGGTTTAAAAATCCTGTCTAAAACGTGGTCCGAGTGAATATAATTTTCTTATAAAATTTTCTGAGGATATTAAGATGTTGCAGTTAAATGCTTAAAATAAAATATAATAACACAATGTGATAGTTACCGATCGTAAGCTATACTTCAATTTGGCAACCATTTGATTGTTTTAGAGGTTCTGTCCCTTATAGTACGAGCCCTCTAGTAGCTTATATTCAAAAGACTGACGATTTGGGTACGACTAAAAGTCATGATCATGAAATTCGTTCGTTGAATTTGTTCTCCTGCTTCCACCAGGGGAGCCCTTCTCGGGGTAGTGTTCGCGACCTCCCCCATCCACCCTCCTACGACGACACCCCCCGGCCATGCGGGGGTGTCATCCCTCCCAGGTCGCTTCCATGAGCACAAGCTCCGTCGTGCTCACCAGCGACCCGCGGCGGCATATCAGGACATTGTCTGGCCCGACGCGGCGGCCTCCTTCTAGAGCATCACCGCTTCACAGAAGGAGGCCGCAGCCTTCCAACCTCCCTCATTGATTGCGGCAATGCTGGCGGAGACAGATCCTGTCCGATTTCTCCGACCAAGACTCGGCGTTCGGACTCCCAAGCAGGACAATCCGCCAGCGTATGCTGAGTCTAGTTCGGATGCGCAGTGGTGGCATCGTGCCGTGTCCTCCCTCCCTATTCGACTCAGATACTCACCGAAACAACCATGTCCGGTGAGTACCTGAGTAGCTGCCCTAGACGTCCGGACCTTTTTTTTTTTTTTTGTGACGAGGGGAAATGCAGTTACGCACCATACCGTGACGCTGACTAGGCGCACGGCGTGTGTGGGACTCGCCGGCACGGGAAACAGTGCCGACCCTACTCAAGCAGGACCAGTGCGGAAGGCCACACTGATCCTACTCCACTAAAACCCCCCGGTACCCTCCTACGCCCATATGGGGGCGGTAGACGTCCGGCCCTACATAGAGGGCTCAGGTATGGTGGGAGTAATTAACTAGGTGCAAGGTTGCTTCCCATATGATATTCTGTCGCGCTCGAGTAAATCCAAAAATCCCCGCTTAGGCTCCCCTACTATTAAGAATGATAACTACTGTCCATTCGTCTGCCGGTGGGTTAAACGAGCAACCATCTCATGAACAAAGACAGCTTATTTAGAATACTAGGAATATTTCAAAATATTTTTATCGAGCATGCATTATCCAAAAATATGAACAGTTAGCCGTTGTTTTTAATCCGTGATAACTTGATAAGTATGTACATTATATTCATAAATGTTTTAATAAAGGATCAGTAAATTATATGCATACTTACAACAAAGTAACTTGTATGTATTTAAACAATTTTCCTTTTTAAAAATAGTAGATTTTATGCTTTTGTATGTTTGTCACGTTATTCCGCTTATTACGAAAATTTCGTGTAATGATTCGTTTTAACAATCAGTTTTTTTTTTGCTGGGTACTTAGTCATCTATACAAGAAGACAATATAATTATTTACTGCGAGAAATATTGTACATTATGTGTAAATGAAACTGATATTTACATCAGTATTGTTAATATATGTCGTAGCATGATTAGATAATTAGAATTTTCGTGAAAATCCTAGGGACTTGGACAACCGCGATAACATTAGGTACTCAATCTTACTTAAAAAATATAGGAGTTTTGCGAAAACGCTAGTCGCCTATAATAAAGTATCCTACTAGATTATGTGCGGAAAGAGAATGGGATTTAGATTGGAGGGCGCTGTAGTGCTTTTCTACCGTATTTGTAAGGTTTTACCCCTTTTAGACATGATTAAATACAAAAAACCCGCAAGAAATCACAAAAGCAAAAAAATCCGTATCAATACAAAACTTTGACGTTTTACAGATTGCTGGGTTTGATGAAAGTTTGTAACCCTTGTACCCAAACTGTATAACTACGTTATATACGAGTATGAGGCCATGAGAACCATAGTGGCCTAACTATTTTTTTTACAATATTGAGTTTATGATTTTTTCCAGTGCAAATTGATCATTGCCTAACTATTTTTTTTAGTCTGTGATCTAAATTTGAGGCGCCATAATGGCCTAAGTAAGATAGGCCAATATGGTTAAAAAATGAACTAGGCCACTATGGTTCTCATGGCCTCATATTGTAACAAACAAATGCAGTCGGTAACTTTCTCTGTTTAAATACCTACTTCGTGAATAGCGTACAAATTTTTATTTAAAATAAAAAAAATTAACTATCTTATCTTTGTTAGTCATTAGGGGGAAAACCAATCCCGACCCGTCATGCTGGCATCCCGACGGAGACCTTGTTGACGGGGACTACATTCAAGGTTCACGATGAGTCGCTCATTGATTACTTAAAACTCAAATACTAAATAATAATTTATGAAATGTTTCACCACTAACGACCTGAGTCTTAACCTTTTCTTGATGAAGAGGTTGTGTCACCTCTACCTTGGATATTAGGAATAAAAATATATATTACGATTTTAGGTACATAGAGGATAATGCTGTTTAATGTTTAAAAAACGACGGGTTGCACTCCGGGAGTGCCGGCAGAAGTGAAAACTTGAATATTAACGTTGTGCATTTTTGATATTTTGGAATGGTTAGGGAATAATTTTGCAGGAATTGCTTTAATTATCAGTATAAAAGTACTATCATGTATGTGGTAGAATACAATATTTATTGTTGTATTTGTGTACACAAACTAGATAATTTATATTACATTAAAAAGTTTACCTCTCAGAAAAATCAACTTACATGAATCACGTTTAAGCGCACTTAGCGACATCTATTGTAAAGAAATTAACTTACATGAATCACATTTAAGCGCACCTTGCGACATTTATTGTAAAAAATGCATTTTCTTCGCAAAAAGCTGCCACGTGGACGACCTAGATAGAGACTTATTATTATAATATGGTAAAATAAAATATAACTATGTTTCGTCCAATATATTGACAGTCAACAACCTTTCCAATTTAAATTGTGTGTCATGATGCGATCAGCCCACGTGTTTAACCTGACGCGAGTTTAACATTTTTTAACCAAACAAAAAAAAGTGTACAACGCCGCTAAAGAAGTTTTCACTTCAAAAATAAAAATATAAATGCATATTACTTTCGATTAATTAGGTACCTATTTACTATTTGCTAGTTTATTATATTTTTTTATTCAGAATTTAACTGCTACATGTTAAATTACATCTAAAGAAAATTTGATTACAAAAAAAACACGCAGTCCAGGCAGCAGAAGATACTCGAACCCGCCCCCTCCGCTATCCAGGCGGATGCAATGACCAATTATGCTCATGCGACCTTAACGGCCATGTCGAGTTTATTCTAGTATTTTTCTATTTATACTTAACTTTATTTTACCAACGCGTAGGTTACACCTTATTTACCATTTAGTGCACTGGCCAATCCGCACTGCGCGGGCGTGGCCTTATTCCGCCCATAGGAAGGCCTGTGCCCCAGCAGTGGGGACATTCAATAGTTTGATATGATTGTTGTGATTGTCACCTCTATTAACTGTATGTTTGTTTATGTTCTAGGATCTGAATGGGTTCGGAAGCAACTTAAAGGAGCAGCTTCTGCCCATAGATATGGACTCAAACGCCGACTCACACGCAGGTAAATAATTATAGTGATAACCATAATAAACACCCAAGCGTCATTAATCCCTTTTGATCGGCGTTTGAGAAAAATTTCTCAAATAAAGCTTTTCACTGGTTGCTCAATAAATTATTTAATACTAGCAAACCAGTGAACCAAATGTTCACCAATTAAAATAAAAATGTATTTAATTAATTGAGAACTTCGGAGATTTTGTGTGGTTTCGTTTGAAATTCGTGATTTCTCGAAAACCGGAAGTGCTACGTTACTCAAATCCGGTTTGTAGTCTTATCAGACTATTCTTAACTTATAACTTAAATATTCTCTTTATCTATCTCTTACGGTTTGGCCGCTGAAACAGCACCACGGACAGACGGACGGACGGACTTGTCTAATAGATAAGAGATTCACTCTTGAGAACGGAGCCTCTAACGAATCCGAGACCTAGAGAGTGATATGTTTTATTTATTAAATTTTATAAATCGCATGTTGCCGGCTTAACCTTTCAGGTGTGTGGCTTAATAAAGAATACAAAAAAAAATACACGTAAAACCCGTTGAAACAGTGTTAAAGTTCCTCAACTTGGTATTTTTTTTTTAAAGTGAAACTTCTTTATCGGCGTTGGAAAAAAATTAACCGTCACATTTTTATTCGGTTACGCGTCACGTTTTTTGGTTACGCGCCATCTTTTTGAAGTGAAACTTCTTTATCGGCGTTGGAAAAAAATTTACCGTCACATTTTTCGGTTACGCGTCACATTTTTCCGTTACGCGCCATCTTTTTTTATATTAATAGTTGATAGCTGAATGATCACACTGTCGCCGGCGAGAACTCTCTCTACTCGTTTGTAGCTGAGTGACAATAGTTATTAAAGATAAGACTCGCTCAGCCAAACTCGCATAGCGATACTCGCTCAGTGATACTCGCTCAGCGATACTCGCTCAGCGTTACTCGCTCAGCGATACTCGCTCAGCGATACTCGCTCAGCGATACTCGCTCAGCGGTACTCGCTCAGCTATACTCGCTCGGTTAAGCTGGCTTGGCTGTCAAAAGCCGTGCGCGTGCATTTTAACTCAGGACTGCCAATTCGTTTCTAGTTTCTACTCGCTTATCGTTCATCGTCGGAGGTGGAACATGTGCCTTAGATTACTGAGCCGTGTAATCATAACAGTTTCATAGGCAGTAATTTGTATTCATGTCTATGATAATAAAATCCTTCTGTTTAAACTTTATCTAATTTAACTTTATTTAACCAATTTCTGGAAAGTTGCATGTAGATCATTTTTCGAAAAATAAGGTCATAAAGAAGTTTCATTTCTTACGTGTGTACACATTTTTTTTATGTTATTGGTGGCATACGAGCAGACGGCTCACCTGATGGTAAGTGATCACCGTCGCCCATGGACACTTGCAACACCAGGAGTATCACAAATGCGATGCCGGCCTTTTGAGGAAGGAGTACGCTCTTTTTTTGAAGGTTTTTGGGTCGTATTGGTCCGGAAACACTGCTGGCGACAATATATTCCACAGTTTTATCGTACGTGGTAAAAAAATTCGACAAAAACGCACGGGATGAAATTTTTGTCGCGATGTACAATGGCGAATCTTGACTATCATATTATAGCGAGTCCTTTTGTCATAAAAAAGTAAAAAAAAAATGATCAAATTGTATGTAATTATTTCGGGATAAAGTTTCAATAAAAAAGAATAATATTTAATTCAGTGCTGGATGATCGTATGAAGTTTAATTTTAAAATGGTTTTCATACATTCCCTTGCAGATGGTGAAAGGATAGAGATGTTGCCCCACAATGAGGACAAGAAAGGAGAGGACCACGAAAATGACGGAGAAGGTATGTCTGATGACCTACTCACGAATTCAAATACTTTTGAGTTAATATGAATTTCACAGAAAACCATTATTTCGGCATTGATGCCTATGCACATAGTTACCAGAATTTTGTATTCTTAGGCAAGCAGTTAATAGAGGGAGCGTACAGCTGATTTCTTTAACCAAAAGTCCAAAATATATTGTTTTAAACTTTCATGGTCACTAACATTATAGCTATTAACGGGATTGTTACCATGTACTTTGTTTTTTATGAGTCTCCGATATTTCGGCACTGTTTAAGCGCCATGATCACGGAGTAATTGAAGTAATTGCGGGTACATGTTATTGGCAGACATATGGGTCTACCCTCTGACGTCGTCTTTTACTGCGCTCGATACCCCTACCATTGGTGACTTTCTCACTATTCACTCGCACCTGTTCCCGACACACAATACTCACAGTATCAGATCGCGGAACGACACTTTGTTGATTTTTGCGGTTTTTGCACATACGAACCAAAAAAAGAAGTCCAAAATATCTTTATTCAAATTGGATGCACAATACGACTCTTTTCTCTCTTTCGAAACATCCATATTTTTGCCCTAACACCAGTTAAGGACATTTTTTTAGGCGTGGAAAAAAGTCTGGCGAAAAAATCTTCACAGCGTCAAATAATTATGTAACAATATTTACAAAATATTCTATTGTTACGGTGTCAATACAAAATCATAATTATAGAAAAAGCCTGCCGGAACGTTTGGAACAGTTTAAACACAAGCATTTTTGTCTGAAATATAATCAGACACTGTATAATAGACACTATTTTAATTGTAGCTTTAAATTTATTTTCGTTTAATTTTTGGATGTTGCTAGGGACTTCATTGTAGAAGCGTACACAAAGACCTTTAGATGAATTATTGATTTTGTGGAGTCTTGTAATTGGTACAGCTAATCTATTTTTATTTCTAGTATTAAACGAGAGCTTATCACTATTTATAAGAAAAAATGTAATATTTTTTCGAACATACATTAAATTTTACATTGTTTTAAACTTTCCTGTACCTTGTTTTTAGGGAGTTTCCGATATTTCGGCACTGTTAAAGGTAACAAAACAAGGTACATGGTAACAATCCCGTAAGTTAATAACTTATATTACTATAATACATTAAATTTTCGTAAATGTACTGAGAAGCAACAGTCACTATATCGATTTCTTTAATTTTTTCTCTTAAAGAGTAGTATTAACATTTTAAATTGATGGACCACCCCGATTTTGCAGCACAAAAATTGTCTCAATGTCGGCAGTATTTCCCCACAGCAAAATACCGCACGACATCACACTATGAAAATAAAAAACTACATACTATAATATCTAATAGACGGCAGACAAATAAGCTCTCATAATAAGAAGCTACATGAGTGCCAAAATTCTGCGCAAAAAAAAACTCAGAAAGCAAAATAAGGAAAAAGATAAGCCCTGTTATAATTGTAAAAGCTTTCGTAATTTACAATATTATCTCTGTTCTAAGGATAAACAAATAATTATACTAAGTTCACTTCAGTTCATCTTTAAATATAAAACTCAAAGGTGACTGACTGACATAGTGATCTATCAACGCACAGCCCAAACCACTCGACGGATCGGGCTGAAATTAGGCATGCAGGTAGATGTTATGACGTAGGCATCCGCTAAGAAAGGATTTTGATCAATTCTACCCCCAAGGGGATAAAATAGGGAATGAAAGTTTGTATGAAACTTTGTCAATTTTAAACCGATCGGGCTGAGACTTTGCATGCAAGTATAAGAAGAATCATAGATGAATGTCATTGTGTATAATACAAGCCTGAGAACAAAAACTGTAGTCTACACTTCAGCTCTACACCGAAGCGAAGCGAGGGCAGGCCGCTAGTTACATATAATATTAACTTCTGTCATTAAACTGCAGTGTGATGATAACATTCAAAAGACAACGCGTTATCAGAAGGATGTGGTTTGGACTTGCGTAAAATTTTAGATAACTTTACCACATATAGGTGGAATGTTTTCTGACTGGTCTGAGCTCCCATGCTGGGCTGGGAACTAAAGCAAAACAACAATACGTCACCTACCACATTTTCAAACAGTTATATTCTCACAATTTTTTGCCGACTGTGCAAAGTTATTTATAGTAGTAGGTTTTAAAATTATTCTAAGTAGAGGGTATTGTCTAAAACAAAATTTCGACAGTATGTGAACAGCAGTGCTATTGTGTAAAATTATCACGCGCGGATCCGATGTGGATCCGCGCGGTTAAGATATAAATCCGCGCGGATCCACATCGGATCCCCGCGTGAAAAATTTTCATAATAGCACTGCTTTAATAATATTGTACTATGCCATGTGACAGCGCTGCGCCGACGCAATGTCAATCAATCAATCAAATCATTTATTGCATTCATGTAGTTACAGAGATGGTTAAATACATGTTATAAAGTACGTTACATGAACCCTGTCAGGGTATCGCAATACTTGGTGTTCTTGAATAGAATTTATAATCCAATATACAATGTAATTTTTTTTTTCTTTTTTTAATTTACGTAATATAAATATCTACTCAATCAATCATAATAATTATATTTCATCAATTATCCCATAAAAAAAAATATTAATAATTAATTTGAAATGAATTATAAAATATTAATATAATGAAAACCATGTACATAACAAATTACTAAATATAACCCACCTTAAAATCAACCGTAATCAATCACATATTATATATTTTAAAATCAGTCATTGTTTGTCGTTTGTTTTATATGGATTTCGCATGCATAGTTACATTATTCATTACTGGCGTGGCCGCGACTTTATTAAATTTAGTTTTTTGTACAATAACTCAGGAACAGAATAGAATCAGAAATCAATATATCTTTATTCAAATTGGATGTATAGTACAACACTTTTGAATCGTCCAAACATTTTTTTTCCCTACCACTCGTTATTGGACATATTTTTTAGCTGCGGAGAAAAACGAGCGAAAAAAACTCCACAACATTAAAAGAATAATGTAACAACATTTACAAATCATTATGTTGTTACAACGTCAATACAATTATGATTTATTTAATATAGAACACCTGTTGGAATGATTGGAACAGTTCAAACCCAAGCATTTTTGTCTGTAATATAATCAGACACTTTGTAATAAGCTTTTTTAATAAGTGCTTTTTTTATACTATCTTTGAATTTATTTATGCTTAACTCTTGGATATTGCTTGGGACTTTATTGTATAAGCGAACACAAAGACCTTTAAATGAATTATTGATTTTGTGAAGCCTAGTAGCAGGTAAAGTTAGTTTATTTTTGTTTCTTGTATTAAGTGTGTGAACATCACTGTTTTTAAGAAACAAATTAATATTTTTTCTTACATGTAATAATACATATGTTTGGGTAATGAATACAAGCGTTTGTACCTAAGTCATGGATGTTTAATGTTTATATTTACATATTTCGAAATAAAAAAATATACTTGTATAATCAGTATAATATGTATTTTATCCGTTATCCTAGTATCCCCTAACACAAGCCTTACAGTGTTTACCACGGGGCTAGGTTAATCGGTGTGTATGTGTGTTAGAAATATTAATTTATTTAAACTAATAAATAAATTATTTTATTTCCATTCCTTCTTCCATCCAGATGACATTGGGTTCAGAATGGGCAACGGATCGGTGCACGGCGCGACGCCGATGGCGGCGGGTGACCACGACGACGGTAAATGGCCCGGGCTCGATGCCGACGAAACGGACAACCCTTACGGTGACTGGGTGTTTGTGGCCGACAACGTGCCGGCAGAACGGACAACTCGTTTTCTCCTAAACTAATGACAGAAACACTTATTACGTACCCCCTTTTTTATACCTGGAAAAGGCGTTACGCCTAAACTAATGACAGAAACACTTATTACGTACCCCCTTTTTTATACCTGGAAAAGGCGTTACGCCTAAACTAATGACAGAAACACTTATTACGTACCCCCTTTTTTATACCTAGTAAAGGCGTTACGCCTAAACTAATGACAGAAACACTTATTACGTACTCCCTTTTTTATACCTGGAAAAGGCGTTAAGCCTCCCTAAAACACCGGGATAAGCACGAACCGGATATGTGATGATTCCTCCCTGCCCATTCCATCCAGCCCTAAAGGCTTTTCATCCATCCCCAAAGGCTCTTCATCCAGCCCCAAAGGCTCAATGAAATGAGTAAGGCCCTATCCAGTAAAAACAGATAGTACTCTACTCCAAGTCCACCCAGGGCGTGTCGGGAGTGCGGGTTGAAGCCGCGGAAACGAAGTACTGAGCATGTGAAAATTGAAAATGTACAGTGACTTATATATACCCATATGATTTAAATGCCAAAATCCAAAGAACTAAACTAAATTCAATATCATTAAGTTCATTAACTTTAAGCTGTTGATTAAAAATACTTGTGAAAATCAAAACTACACTATAGATTCGCAAATCATCGGCTTTGTACTGTTTCTTTTTATGTCAAAGGTTTCTTTGGCTACCTCAGTTGTGAACGTACCATTCCAGTAATATAGTAGTATTCCATAGTTTCGTCATTTATTATTATGTTTTTAATTTAATACTTATTCAATGCATTAACTTCGCCAATGTTGTAATGTAATAATAGATAAGAAACCAATCGTAAAAACAAGAAGCAGTCTGGTAGGTAGCCAAGGCACCTTTAGGTTATACTAAGTACCTATCATTCAACTTCGGCCAAGGTACCATGACATTATTGGAGCCAAATTAAATGAGAAAATCACGGAATTAGACCAATCTGCCCCAAAATAAAATTTTGTGTAATCTGCCTGGGTGATCCAAGCAAGAGACGTAGATTTATTCAAATATTTTTCAGTCTCAGACACATTTAAAATCTGCATCTGACTTTCAGACTGGAAATAATTATTAACAGAACTTGTAACATTTCTCATATTTTGTTTGCAAACATTTCACATCGAATCTGCTCGCTGCTAGTTAAATATCTTGCAAGTTTACAATTAATGATAATTTCCCGCTGTTTATAAAAGGAGAAAACGAGGTGTTGCATACAATAATAACAAACCTAAATTCCTTCACATAAAAACCTATCTATGAATCGAATTACCCTTAGATTATAGAAGTTCTGTAATCTAAGGAATGATATCTAACCAACGTTTTAACCGTAATAAAGTAATTGACCTTCGAATTGAGCCTCACAAATTCTATAATTGGAATCTTTGCTACTTACTTGTATTGTAGATAGAACGAGTATCTAAATAAACATAGCTACTGTAGTTTCAATTGCTCGCTTCTGTTTTTTAACTATTTTTAATTCCGCCTGCGTTTTTATGTGGATGGATGTCATTAACCGAGTTATTTTGCATGTTTATTAAACGTAACTCTTTGGTATATTATACTTTTTTACTTACATTCAGATTCGTTCTTCTGGCACGTCTAAATTTTAGTCTAAATAACAATTCCTTGGTTGGTAATCAATATGTTAGTAAATGTTGTTATTGCATGTGTATGATGAGGAGTTATATTTAGCATGTTTTGACTTGGATTTGTGATGCACGAGGAAATGTTTAAAAGGATAAATAATAGTATTGTTTAATAATTAACATAATGCCTTTTTAATTAAGGTAAAATTTTGTGTGTTCCAGATAAAGCTCATGACGATGCCAGGACGGTTATTGAAGAAAGTGTAAGTATACTCGAAAAATAATTTCATTGTTTGATGTTCATGCGCACACGTAGTAGGTACTATGGAGTTCTACCCAGGGATGTAACGTCCGTGACGTTGCAGCCTCCTTGTTTAGGTAGACTCTTTGCTTTTGCAATGCCTACGGTTGGCAGTTATATTACAAAGTTAATGTCATGATTTTGAGATTTGAAATAAGGAATCGTCTGTCTTTTGAAAGCAGGTTCCATTCAAGAGTAGATCTTCAGGCACCAAGAAAACCTCTCGTATTTAGATAAAATTCTTTATATTCGAATGGATAGAACCTGGGGACGTGACTCTTCAGTAAAACAACTAGACGATGGTTATTATTTTATATTATCATTCAGGCGAATATAAAGAATTTTATCTAAATACGAGAGGTTTTCTTGGTGCCTGAAGATCTACTCTTGAATGGAACCTTCTATCAAAAGACAGACGATTCCTTATTTCAAATCTCAAAATCATGACATTAACTTTTTAATATAACTGCCAACCGTAGGCATTGCAAAAGCAAAGAGTTTACCTAAACAAGGAGGCTGCAACGTCACGGACGTTACAGTACTCTAAGATAGTAGTTTAAGCAGGTTGCCTGCTGCCACTATGGGGGCGTCCATAAATTACGTGAGATGTTTAAGGGGGGGAGGGGGTCGAGTCAAATCTCATCTAATCTTGCGTTGGAGAGAGGGAGGGTTTTGGCAAATATCACGCAATTTTTTTCTGATTGAAACAAAAAAAAATATACTATTTTGGTCCATTTAATCCAGATTGTACATGCTTAAGATTAAATTTTAAGCGTAATCGTAATACGATTAAGATGATTCACTAATTCGTTCGAACGAAAATAATTTCATTCATACTTCGACGTTATACATCTACTGACTGTCAAACCACCATATTTGTTTAATATCAAATAGCTCAATTTAATCTGAATAAAATAAAAGAATGAATAATTTTTTATTCTTTTTACAATAACAATCCAGCGCGTTTACGTAAGAAACCCAGATTTGGAAAAATCTCACGTGAGATTGGGGCATGGGGGCCCTCCCATGAATTGAATTTGAATATAATCTCACGACATCTCACCAGGGGGAGAGGGAGGGACAGAAATATCAAAAATACACCTCACGTAATTTATGGACGCCCCCTATGGCCACCCTGCTTAAACTACACTGTTTATTTCTCGCGCTTGTTTTCTGAGTCTGAGTCTGAATCTGAAACTGAAACTCACAAAAAAACCACAGACTGTCTATTAGATAAGAGATATATTTTCGGCCAAAGTGGCGGTTTAACGATTTTGCCTTTCCCGGACGTTATTGTTGTCATACCTACTTTTATTGCAAACCAAATTTAAAGTCCTTTAAATAAAAAAGGTTTTACAATAATGACGAAAATAAAATGATTTTGAAGTATTATCATTTTCACTGGCACGCTTAGAATCCATAGAATAAAAATATATGTGAATATTGAAATAATGCAAATTTTATTATTGATATAGTACCTTTTTTCCCTTTAAACTTATATTGCATGAGTTCTTCCCAAAAACATTCTAAATGTATTAAAAAAAATCTTTTCTTAAAGGTAACTATAATCCGTCTGCGTCCAGTACTAAAGGAGCAATCTACTAAAAAAAAAATTTCCTGTAAACTATCATTTTTGTAGTTATATTTTTATTCTCCGGGGACGACGAAATGTCTAATAGCAATGCTTTGCCTTCACCAGCCCAACGTAAACACATACCAGCAGAAGAAGAACCTTGCTCAGGGCATGATGGATCTCGCACTGCTGTCTGCCAACGCCAACCAGCTGCGATACGTTCTAGAAACGTCTGCCGGGGGACACCCATACTACTACCCCAGCGTCGTACTCATCTCCTTGAGCATCATTCTGCAGGTAAATAAACATTATTGATGTCATTATTGTGGTAAAGCTGCTGTATAACGCCAACCAGCTGCGATATTCAAACCGTATTTATAACCGAGTTCAAAATAGGAGGTGTAAATCTAAAGAAAGATTTAATAGAAAAAAAAACACGCGAACTAGGCAGTAGAAGCAACGATATTAGCAGAAGGGACTCACACCCGCACCCTCCGCTATCCGGGCGGATGCACTGACCATTATGCTACCGCGGCCCTAATTTTCCGTGTCGAATTTTCTCTAGTATTTCTTAGGCTGTAAGGCAGCGCCATCTCTTCGCATTGTAGATAACCCACAATTTCAAATGAATACCTTTACAAGTATTAAACATTTGGAAGAAGAAATAGCAATTATAGTTATATCATCATCATCATCAGCCTATTAATGTCCCCACTGCTGGAGCACAGGCCTTCCCTATGGATGGAATAGGGGGATTGGGCCATGGCCCTCCACGCGGGCCCAGTGCGGATTGGCGGGTGCTAACGACTGCAGATGCAGCCGGGACCAACGGCTTAACGTGCCTTCCGAAGAACGGAGGAACTCAAGATAGAAGATTTTTGGTCACCCATCCACTGACCGACCACTGCGAAAGTTGCCTAACTCCAACGATCGCAGCCGAACGCGTTAACCACCCGCGCCATCGATCTCCTCATTATATAGTTATATATGATCATATTTTGATATTTAAATCTAAAGAAAATTTACTAAAAATAAACCACGCGGACCAGTCAACAAACGGGACTCGAACCCTTAATTTTCTTCAAAAGCACATCTAGCAATTAAATGTTGTAATGTATCTAATATCATTGTATCCTGTTCCAGGTCGCCGTCGGCGTCGGGCTCATCCTTAACAGCCGTTACGACGTCAATCATTACGTGGACATCTGCAAGGCGGACAAGATCAATAACATGACCGTGCTGGGAGTGTTCCTGGTCACCATTGTCAATGTCTTCATCACATCCTTCAGCGTGGCTCCGTCTAACACCGCAGTCATACAGGCTGGCTAATTCTACCACATAGGGAATGAATTCTTTAATGGCCTCAATTTTAAGTAAACTAATAGGGGCGAAGTGAGGAAATTCTATTCGGTCTGTCAGTTAGATTATCAAAAAATATAAGACTCAAAAATTTGAAAGTTTGAGCTCGTTGCATCAGTTCTAAGTGAAAATTGTACCTAGACGTGATGTCATGCGAGCGACATTTCAAATTATCAAATGTATCTGTTACCGCCTTATTCCAAAACACGGACTAAACTGAGTTTTGATTAAAACCTCATGTTGTCTCCCTCTTCTCTTTAGAAAACAAAAGTAACATCGTCAGTTTTAGTCCAGGTTTGACTTAAGTCAACGTTTTGCATACAAAAGTGCGCTAAGTGTCATGTGGTTGATTTTTCAGGGCTCAGCTTTCCATTAGTTGTGGTTGAGTAGCGAGCTGAATTTTTTGTCATGCAAAGTATTAATTATTAGAAACACATACACGAACTCTTTTGAGACCCCACCTCCCTCCCACACATCAAAACTACCCTGAAATTCAACCAAAGCTAATGGAATTAAGTACCTTTTTCAGTCTTAAATTGCGTCTTATACAGTTTTTAATTCTCTATCGATCTGTCTTTGACAAGTATTCGTATCTTTTATAGTTTAAATCTAAAAATCTGTCATGTGATGAATGGTTACAAAATAGCAATAATTTAAAGTTTCGGCGCCGTTTTTGGCCATATCTCAAAAGTTGGTTTTGTCCCGTTTTAGCTCGAGGGCATCAGAATAAGGCAGTTTGTTTTAATAAAATTAATAAAGAAAAAAAAATCGTGTCCAATACTTTTTGATAATATACCTGACAGACGAAAAAGTTAGAATCATCTCTATTGACGACCTCCGTGGCCGAGTGGTTTGTACGCCGGGTTTCATGGTGTCGTCGACTCGAGAGGTCCCGGGTTCAAATCCCGGTGGGGGGCAGATGTTTGTGTGATGAATACGAGCATTTGTACTCCAGTCATGGATGTTTAATATGTATTTCTATAAAATATAATTATATATGTACTGTATATGTATTCTATCCGTTAACCTAGTATCCCATAACACGAGCCTTACAGTGCTTACTTTGGGGCTAGGCTAATTGGTGTGAGTGTTGGAAATATTTATTATTATTGCTTTGAAGTTCTAGTTTCCTATTACGGGACCATAGATGAATGATTGGTCTTGCTTCTGAAGCGAGACCAATCATTTATCTATGTACGGGACTTATGTTACTACCTGAAACGATGTCCTCCTATTTCTATTGCTATCTGTGTTAGTATGTTTAAGTTTCTAGATTTAAGTTCAGCGGACGTTCAAAGTCACAGATCATCCATGAATCGACGTTCCTCTATCCTACTATCTCTTTTCTACTGCTCATTTTTTTCGACGTGCCTTATCACAAATGCAAGGATGGTCTGCTAATAAGTATCTTATTACAACGTATGCATCGCAGCTTATATGTATTCGACATAAATGAGGTAGCTGTTCCGATATTGACTATGATTTTAACTTGATCAATCTTGAATGACTTATGAGTGATTCGCGTCAAATTACCACCAGTATGTGTACATTAAAATACATTGCTCGTAATTTTTGTACATATTTTTGGATCTAAACCCTATCCTATGTTACCAGCGTCAGATACACGGCCTATTAAAAACCCTGTAGGCAACTTATAAGGTGATCTTTCAATAATCACGATGCATTTTTACCATTAAGTTCTTTAAGAATATTTAGTTAAAGTTGTAAAATATTTAGAAGTAAGGTTACTTGAGAGTAAGGTGGCTATCCCCTCAGTTGAGTATCGTTTTAAATGTATATATATATACCCATATAAAAAGAATTGTACTTTTTAAATGTATGGGTAAAACCCACGACATGCACGAATGGGTTTTTCACTCTGTTGACATTGATGATTATGGAGTCGTCTCGATTTACTCCATTGTATTTCACTGTTATGTTATTTCACACCTAGAAAAATATAAGTAGTAGTCTGTGCGGAAACCCAGCAATCTGTAAAACGTCAGTTTTGTATTGATACGGATTTGTTTGTTGTTGTGATTTCTTGCGGTTTTTTGTATTTAATCATGTCTAAAATGGGCAAAACCTTACAAATACGCTAGAAAAGCACTACATCGCCCTCCAATCTAAATCCCATTCTCTTTCCGCACAGACTACTGGTGCTATTAAAAGGGAGGCTCTAATTGCTTCTCTTTTGAACAGTGTCGTCTTCAGCATAATTGACTGTAATCCTTTGATCTTGTGATACTTTTACTAACGAAATGCTAAGTTAGTCACCTCACTTAACTATAAATAAAATCAAACTGACATGATTGCTTATAAAGTTATAAGCCAATGTAGGTAAAATGATACTATGAATAATGCCTGCGCGTAAGCACTAGTCTCTGATTCTTTTCTTATGATCATTTCATACCAGTGCAGAGTAGAAACGCATCAAAGCAAATTTCAGAAACCATAGCAAATTCACCCTCATTCGCAACGTTATACATATATTCCTTCGCTCCTGATAATCAGCGTCATCAATCATTCTCTTTATCACAGAAGGAATATGTATGTGTTCATTATGTTGCTGGGATAATGGTGAATTTGCTTTGTAACGTTTCTGAAATTCGCTTCGTCTCTGCGTTAGTATGAAATAACCATTATTTTTGTACACCTTAATTTAATTTAATCTAAGACAGCTTTGCATTTATATTTACAATTAGTAAGATTTATATAGAAATTACCTTTCATGTAAGAAAATGTATTTCTTGAGTACTTAGTACAGTGATATAATTGATGGTAGATACTCATTTTTTTATTAGTACTGTTCTTAAATAGTATTTGTACAGAAATTTACAAAACATCTAAAACCGATATACTCTAAATCCGCTCATAACAGAAGGAAATAGAAGGTTTAAGTATCTGAAAAAAGGTACAACCGAGGATAAATCTTGCTAGAATTGTAGTTTAACAAATCCTATTTATTAATAATCATTAATTTGTAAATAAAATGCTCATTTTAAAATCTCAAATAATATTTGTAACATACTTTTTATTATTGTTAAATTTTATAATTTTAAATATTTATGCCATTTTTATGTGCCTTATTGATTAGGAAACTGATCTGGAAATAAATTTCACTACAAAAATGTATTATGGATTTTTTATTGACCACACATGAAACACATCTATGTCGAGCCATTTGCAAACAGGGATAATTTCAGGGGGACTTGTGTAACTTTTTACGTAAACCCATTTGTAGCAATTTTCATCATCATCACATCACCATCAGCCTATTAATGTCCCCATTGCTGGGGCACAGGCCTTCCCTATGGATGGAATAGGGAGATTGGGCCATGACCCACCACGCGGGCCCAATGCGGATTGGCGGGTGCTAACGACTGCAGATGCAGCCGGGACCAACGGCTTAACGTGCCTTCCGAAGCACGGAGGAGCTCGAGATAGTAATTTTTGGTCACCCATCCAATGACCGACCACTGCGAAAGTTGCTTAAATTCAACGATCGCAGCCGAACGCGCTAACCACTTGCGCCATCGAGCTCCTCCTTGCTGCCGTCTTAGCAATTTTATTTAGCGATAAAAAAAATTACCAACATACATAACGAGCCCTTACCGCCAAATTATCGTAAGCGACACTTTTGTCGAAATGCGTTTTTTGTGGAAACTAATATTTTAAACCGTAACGGACCCATCTCTGTTGATATTTCCCTCTATTCTTCCCTCTATTATATTATAACGGTGTTCTTTTGGAGGGAAATATCAACAGAGATGGGTCCGTTACGGTTTAAAATATTAGTTTCCACAAAAAACGCATTTCGACAAAAGTGTCGCTTACGATAATTTGGCGAGTGTCGCTTACGATAATTTGGCGGTAAGGGCTCGATAAATACCAACATATTAAGAAACCAATGAAAAGGAATGCGTACGTAAGCCCAGCAGCGTCACAACCTCTGTACCCCTAGCAGGAACCATTATCGAATTCGAATAGTTTGCGAGTGCGAAAAGTCCCTATTAAATTTTGTATGGAAACTTGAACAGCAGCGCCACAAAGTACGTAACGAGAACTAAAAATCAGTACACATTTGACAATGACATTTCGGACTCGCAAACGATACGAATTCGATAGTGGTTCGTGCTAGGGGTACAGAGGTTGTGACGCTGCTGGGCTGACGTACGTATTCTGTTCAAGTTTCCATACAAAATTTGACATTGACATTTCGGTTTGCAAACTATTCGAATTCGATAATGGTTCTTGCTAGGGATACTGTACCCCAAGCACGAACAGCTAACGTGAAAGTATTCGTATCGCCATCGTCAAATGTCTACGGAAGGAGCTAGTTTTTCTTGCATCCCGTAGGGGCGATGCTAAGTTATAAAGACGACGTCGACAAGAATACGCATTTGTCAATCATGCTTCGAGTACAGACTGCTGACAGCGCCGCGTCGCAATCTTATTGGCATCTTAGATTAAAACAAAAAGGGTAGATACGGTACGCTCATACTTGCATCAAACAAAAACTGATCCCACGGCACGGCAGCGCGAACGGGACGGCGAGATCCGCGTTACTGCATTACCGACCCGAGCGAAACAGCACGTTAAGTTTCAACGGCAGCGCGAACGAGACGGCGAGATCCGCGTCACTGCACTACCGACCAATCACGCGACCAGTACTCGACGTCACTACCGAATAAGATTCAAAACAAACAGCATTTTTTATGGAAAAATATATTTTATAGTACTTACGAATGAAAAGTGATGCCGTGGGTTTTATTTTTAGTTCTTGAGCAATTTGAGCACTTTTTAAAAACATACTTTGGCATTGTTTTATCATATAAACACAAAATATTATCAATATTGCTTTTTGGCGTTCACATGTGCGTCGTTTGAATGTCAAGTTGTGACTAAAGCGATTAGTGTCGTGGACCACAATCGTATCTACCCTTTTTGTTTTAATCTAAGATTGGCATTTAGGTTTTCTTTGTAGTAAGGAATTGCAAAATAAACACGGGACTTTGAACCCGTGATAATGAAGTAGCTTGATGATAAGGGGGTGATTGGTGGCAGTTCCCCGCCATCATTAGGCTTAATTTATACCACCGCGGAACGGAATGGAAGCAGTTTAGTCCGTTTTCAGCGATTCTCTTTTTGTTCTATGGGAGATACTTGCCGTTTCATCCCATAAAAAAATATTTAGTTAGACCCAGTCGTTTTTGGTGATAACTTCTTATGGTAAGGTTAACTGCTAAGTTACGTAACGCGTTACGGCGCCAGTCCCCAAAGAGATAAACGC